GCCCAGTCTAGCTTAAGCAACCAAAGTGCTTGCATGAATATCTTTGCCTTGCTAATAATAGGACCGAGTAGGCCTAAAGGATCATATAATCTCGCTATTTGAGATAAAACATCTCTTCTTCGTAACATCAGGCTTTTCATTAACAGTAACTTTATATTGCAATGTATCCTTCTTATTATTCCACAACATACCTAACGTCTTCACAGTTGTATTACTATTACGATCAAATGAAAAATTCTGTAAATCAGAGTTCTGAGAATCAAAACTAGTACACCACTTGTGTAGCTTCATTCCTCCTTTTTGGAGCAATTCTGTCAAATCTTTCTGGAGCTGAATGCATTCCTTCAAATTCGAAGATCCAGTAAGACAGTCGTCTACATAGAAATCTTCCAAGACCACTTTCGATGCTACAGGAAAATCCTTTTTTTTCATCATTCGCTAACTGTTGAAGAGTCCTTTGTGCCAAATATGGAGCGCATGCTGTGCCATAAGTTACCGTTTTGAGTCTGTTTTGAGCTATAGGCTTATCTTCATCTTCCTTCCAAAGTATTTTCTGATATTTGGTCTGCGATGGCAATATTTCAATTTGTCGAAACATCTTCTCAATATCGGCAGTAAATGCATAAATATGCTTTCTAAACCGTATCATGATGGAAAAAAGTTCCTCTTGAATCATTCCACCTTTACATAATATGTCGTTCAATGAACAACCGTTAGTAGTTTTGGCACTCGCGTCGAACACAACGCGTAACTTTGTTGTTTTACTATCAGGTTTCAGCACGCCATGATGAGGAAGAAAATATCCTCCTTCAGTTTCAGAATAGTCTTCCATCCTCTCCATATGATTTAATGATTCATATTCCCTTAAAAATGAAACATAAAGTTCTTTCATTACAGAATCACTCGACAAACGTTTCCACAATTGATTCAGTCTTTTTTCAGCGATTTCCTTTGAATCCCCTAATTGTATGTTTTCACCAATATCTGGCTTGAACGGCATTTTAACCACATATCTTCCATCCGCATGCCGGTAAAATGAGTTTTTAAAAAGTTCGTTGCAATAATTTAATTCAGAATTAACTGTAGATTTAGTTTCATTTACTTCTTCAACTTCCCAGAATGACTTTACTAAGTTATTTAACGAATTAATCTCTGTTGACAAAAAACAATAATTTAAGTCATAATTTTTTACATTTGGAATTCTAATGCTTCCAGAAACTAAAAAGCCGAAGCAGCTGTTTTGAAGAAGTAACTCATTATCTTCTAAACGTATTTTATCTGTTTTTAAAAATTCAAAAAATAATTCCGCACCTAATAATAAATCTACCTTTTTTGCCTTGAAAAATTCATCATCAGCTAACTTTATTCCTTTCGGAATATTTAATTTCGAAATATCAATAGATTTCGATGGTGTCATGTCAGTTATTTTGGGAACAACTAATAACTCTATTTCCCATTCATTTTCCTTTTCTAAGTTCGATAAACGCATCTTTATTTGCGATTTAACATTCAAAGTAGTGTTGCCTATTCCACTAACTGGAATAAAATGTTTTTTCTCGTTCTTTTTTTTTCCTAATGAGTTCATAACACCTACAGTACAAAAATTACAAGTCGAAGCTGAATCAAGCACGGCTCTAAAAGGAATTCGTTCATCGTATTTCTAGATTCTCTATCTAATTTATGCAATAAAATATTTAATATCAAAACATCAGATAAATTATTTCTATCAAATTCTAATACACTTAAAGATCTCAAACATCTTTTAACATTATCTACCAGTGATCTCAACTGAGAAGGTGAATCATTAATTTTTTCAAATTTCAACAAATTATTGATAAAGGCATCAACTACTGCTCTTTTGTTTTCATATCTGCTTTCAAGTGCAGAAAATAGCGACTCAAATGTATCCTGACATGATTCTAACATTTTTGCTTCACCTTTAAGTGATGCTTTCAAATAAAACAGTTTCTCAGTATCATTTAAATTATTATTATTACCAATCATAGACATAAATTGCACTTTAAAATTTTTAAAATCTTTATATTTACCATAAAATTGAGGAAGAGGTAAATCAGGCAGTTTAAAATTTGATTTAGAAACAGTTTTGGTTTCAAATTTATCTTTATTATTTGTTTCACAATTAGAAAGAAAAATTCTAAATCTTACTTCGAACTCTTCGATGCTTTCTTCCAATTCTTGTGTAATGCTTTATCCCTTCAAGTCAATTTCCTCTGGCAAATTGGTATATTCCACTATGAGTTGTTTAACCCGAGATTTTAATTCCAACAAAGAATCCAATTTAGTCTTCATAATAACATCATGGTTGAGTTTATTCTCCTCCATTTTATACTCATCAAGGAATTTTATCAAAGCTCCGAGTTTCGTTTTCACTACGCCGCGTTGGCGATTCAATGAAACAATATTAGTAGCCATTTTCTTCTCCGGCTAACGTGAGACCAAACTGTTCTTGCCGAAGATAGCTCGAACTTATTTAATGATACTTAACTTCAGTAAGTGGACTGTAATATTAACAATAACAATTTTATTTTAACAAAAACAACATTATTGAATACTAGCACACGCATGTGCTTATAGTTACCTATGTAACTTAGCTAAAGCGAGCAACCATATGCTCTTACATCAAGTCAGAAATCATTCATACTAATAAAGCAAAAACGAAATAACTTTAGGGTTACACTAAAGCCAAACTCTGCTTGGCGTAAAACAATGCTGCCAAGCAATACTCTTTCAGACACCGAACAGTATTAACACATAATGGATGTATTTTATAGAATTTTTAGAAGAACAGTGAAAACACAGTTTCTTGCAGTTTCTTCTTTTGATCTCAGAAGTTTTTCATCTGGCATGTTTATCTTTCCTTTATTTTCTTATCTGTAGAGACAAGCACTGAAGCAAGGCAAATAAGGAAATTGAAAAGTGACAATTTATTAAAAGATTCATCTTGTATGTCTCAGTGCACCACAGATACCTCAGCGCCTACCCTGAATTCTGAAACTGTTACCCTAATTTTTTTTTTTTTTTTTTTTTTTTTTTGGTTGTTGTTGTTGTTGTTGTTGCTTGGTGCTTCACTGAATTCTAAAAATTCTGCCAGAAAATTATTCTTCAAAGATGCATTGTTAAAACACTAACAAGTTCGGTGATGAAGCAATGACTTGTGGAAACATTGATTTTAGAAAAGATGCTAATGAGAAGGAGATTGGTGTAAATTTGTTAAAATATTTGGCAGATTTTCGAATTAAAAAGGCGCATAAACATTTTGTTATTTGTTGTTACAGAACATATTTTTTTATAGATTTTAGTGCATCATTTTATAATCAATATCATAAATTCTAACAGCTACAAAATGTTTAGTGCTTTTTAATGGATATTTTTTAGAAATTAAAAGAAATGTAATTGTAACCACATAAATCTATGGTTATGACTAAGGTATCTAACTGCGTAGTTTAATTAGTTGTAACTAACTGCTCTCCCTTAGATGTTAGTATGTAGTTCTCTCCTTTCCTTAATCCTTATTATAAATGCAAGATACAATACATACAATACAAAAATGTAAAAATTTATCTAAAGCTTTATCCTTACAACTAATGAGACTTAAAATAATACAGAGCAACCTATCATCTCTGGTGCTTCAGTGGTTTATTGGAACTTTATATTAAATGTTGTATATTAACTGGGTTATAACTTCAGTAAATCTACACAAAGCTACAACACTAATTGGGTAAGACTAAGCAGTTAACTTTCAAGACTTGCAACCCTACCAGTGTCAGCTGTTTATATTGTTCTGATTTCTGTTTAACAAGCAGCTACAGTGGCTGTAACCAAACTTCTGTTATGAGTCATGCTGATTATCAAGCTTCTGTTATGAGCCATGCTGATTACTTCACAATTTAACTTATGGCTCTTGACATGAAACTGCATATACCTCTGGATTGAGCGACTATGTGACAAAGTGAGGCATAAAAGAAAGAAACAATTATATAGCTGATAGTAAAATTTAAATGATAAGCCACTAATTTTTAAAATATGTGGAGCTGTGTAAAATATAAATGTTCCAAGAAATTCTTAATTTAATGCTCAGTATTTGAAAAAAATTATGAAGTTAATTTTTTTCTTGAATTTGTTTTATAAGTTAAATATTAGATTATGTATATTAATAATGCACCCTACTTACAGATTTATTTTATTCTCACAGATTAGAAAAGGGAAGTTGCAAAAGTAAAATTTGGGTGTAGATAATTGCTTTATTTATTCAGTTTCTATTTGCTTGACAGAGCCTTAATTTTTTTAATTGATGGTTCTTAAAAGTGCTTAATTTTCCCATACAGAAGTATGAACAAACGCTATCAGAACCAAATATCTTTATTGTAGAAGCATCTATCATCCATCACCATGTTCCTAGAAATTCAAAGCTGCTCCTTTCACAAAGTCATAGAGATAATCTTATGGGACTACACCAAGGTTATGCTGCCTGTTGATTTCCTTGCTAGGAAAGCAGCGGTGAATGCTGCCAGGTATTGTGACACACTGGCAATTCACAGAAGTTTTTATTTTGAAACTTGCTGAATGTGATGATATTTTGAAATAAGAATTTGCTTTGTATGAACTTAAAATAATGGAAGAATCATTTTCAGTGCATTTATATATATATGGGAGGGCAGCTGTTTATGTTTCAGTTTTATAATATTAAAAGTATAACATAGTAAAATGTTAAATTATACTTGTATTTTTTGCCCATAGATATTTTTAATATAAGCAGATTGATGCTTTCTGTGAGTTATTATGTTAATCCCCAAGATAATGCATTTTTCAATTATAACAATTTTAAATGAACTGTTGTTTTTAATGTTCTTTAAATGAATATGATATTAAGTTCAGAGAAGGGAGAATTACTTTATTTTGTAATTTCTGTATTTGTTTATAAAAATCTTTTTTAGAGTTTTGATAAGAATTTTTATTTATTCATATCTTTTGTCATTTAGGGCCTGTTCTACTTGATGAATTTGTTGATTGGTTAAAGGCAAAGCAAAATAATGGAAGCCAAAAGCCAAGTCATTCTACTTTTTAACTGATTCTTCTAGTTCTGTGGTGCCAAATAATAGGCATGTTTGAGGATTAAAAAAAAAAAAAAAATGGAACATTTTTCTAGGAAAAAAGGCATATTCTTCAGTCTTTACACCAGAAGAACTTGTGATATTCTGTATTATTATGAATGAGCTGCAAAGTTCTACCTAGAAACAAGTATCCAGTCGGCCAGGCCTTCCCCCTTCCCAAGTTTGTTATTTGTATATGTGTTCAGTTGTTTCTCCACTATCACTTAAGTTGTGTATGCCAAATTTTAAACTCAGGAACCAACATACTGCTTTATCTCTCTTGTATATTGGAAAGTATGGGCATGTTCCATTATTGAATATTATTGTATCAGTTGCACATGTCTTGGACAAATTAGAATGGATTTTATTTCTTGTAAATTTTGTTATAAAAGTGATTTGCATAACTTTGTTGGTTTTCTAATTTTATTAGATGTATGCATTTTTTCACTATTATTGATTTATTTTGTTTGCGGAATGTTTAGTTTAAATCACTGCTGTTTAATTTGGAAACCTAATTAATTATCAGGATTTTTATTATTAAATACTACTATTTTTTATTTTTAGTGTTACTTAAATATTTTCTTTTTTGGGTGGGTCATTAAATAAATTTGAACTGCAAAAATCTGGTTTTTAATTTAATCAATGATTTTTTCCCTTAATTTTTAGAACATGCATCATTTACAATCAATTAAAAAATGTAAGTGTTCTTTTTTGTTCAGTATAATTACATTTTTATTTTATAAGTGCTTTTTAAGTTGCAAGATTAAAGCAAAAGTAATTAAACTGAAGTTATCGTTAATATTGTGTAATAATAATTTTTATTTTGGGGGGTAATTTTCATAAAGCTTATAAATAGTTTCATACATTTTTTAAGTTGTTATAAAAGTTCTAATTCCATATATCACTAGATGGGTAGTTTATTGTGTCTAATATAAAATATGGATATGGCTATAAAAGTACGTATTAAAATTTATTTTTAATAAGGAAATTCCAAAAAATTAATCCCTTCTTCTAGGCATACCTCATCCAGAATAAGATATATTTGATAATTTAATTTTTTTTAATATGACAATTCATGAAAGAGACAATTTTACATTCTAGACATGAAATTTTTTAACTCGTGAGATTCTTCAGATACAAATTGTTAAAACGCTTTACATTATAACTGTATGATATAGATCCATCCTTTCAACTTTTAATTCAGAACATAATATGCGAGTTGGACGCTTTTGGGGGGGGTAAAGTACTAAACTTTACACATTTTAAGTGTCATGAATTTTGATGTTATTTTTCCTTTGTGTAATAAATATCAACTTTCAGTTACTCTTCATTTATTTAAACTGAATTAAAAAATGGTACTATAAATATAGCAAATAATCATTATTGAAAAAATCCATGTTTTGGAGGAGAAAAATGTTAATTTAAGAGGAATTTTGAAGTTGTTGTAGTATTTTATGTTTTTCATATGGATGAAGTTTTTTCAGAAAAAATTCTTGTATGATAAATTTGTGTGCTTTAAAATTTTAGTTTTAGAATAGTTAGAATTATGTTTTAGTAACTGTGTGAGATTTTTCCCTTTCATTTGAATGTGTTCTGTGATGTCTACAAAAAAGGCATTTTGCACTAATAAAATTTTTATGTTTATTTATTAATTGCATAAATAAAGAAAAGAATAGCCTTAATGAGGTATGCCCGATCAGAGCATTGTAATTTTATTTCTCTACAAAAATTAGCAATAAACCTATGATAATTTGTCCATGGCTGTACTATCCCATTCCAAGTGTCTTACAGTGCTTCAGTTGGTTTCATAAAATTGCTGCTGATTGACTTATCGTCTACAGCACAAGTCCAGTGTGCCTACTGTGTGTATATATATATATATGCTAGAAGTTCTCTCAAAAAAGTAGTACAATAAAAATATTTGCTGTTTAATGTACTATGTTATTTTCTTATATTCTCAGGATTTTGGTTTATTACTTTTGACTTTTTAATGTTAATCTATTAACACTCAAATTTAGCATATACTGTTCAAGGAAATTTAAAAATTCCTGAAGTGTTTATCATAGTTTAATCATCTCTAGGATAACATGAATAAAAAGTTTCAGATTGTGGTAGTTTGATATGAGAATTTTATGATTTAAAGAATGAAAACAGTAAAATTATGAGAGGAATAAAATAAATAATAAAATGAATTTATGATTTAAATAATACAAAACAATAAAATGGTCGTAAAATTACAATGGCAATAAAATGACAATTAAGTAACAAATTTATAAGCAGAATTTATACATACATCTTATCTGAAATTGAGAACTTTGATAGCATCAAGTGATGGCAATGTGAGTACTGGCAATACCTTTTTAAACAGAAGCCCAACTACGTGATCATGATGTCACAAATTGGCAGCAGACAATTGCCATTGGTCATTTACTTCCTGCAGTAAAAGTATATACATTTTTAGAGCTTTACTAAATGAATGGTTTCTTCTAATGATGTATATATATATATAGAGAGAGAGAGATATGAAAATGCATATTTTCAATTCATTCTCGAATATAATTTTGGAAAACGTATTCACATGTACAAAAGTACACTATAAATTATTAATTTTTGTATGCTCTTATATGTTTACAATTAAAGTAACACTTTAAGGTGATGTTATATATATATACTGATATATATATATAGAGAGAGAGAGAGAGAGATGAAAATGCATATTTTCAATTCATTCTCGAATATAATTTTGGAAACATACTCATATGTACAAAAGTACACTATAAATTATAAATTTTTGTATGCTCTTATATGTTTACAATTAAAGTAACACTTTAAGGTGATGTTGACCTAAAACAAGTAACTAGATTCTCCCATACTAATAATATTCAGGTCACTTAACTGCATAATAGATATACAGGAAGGATGTATGGAAATATATTTAAAGGAAATTAGAAGCTTTTAAATTTCAGCAGTGCAAATTTATAAGCAAAATAGTTTCTATTGAAGAGTAATTTTATGTACACATATGCACACAACTTGTATTCCAGTTCTTTCTTTCTTTTTTATGAATACCAAGGTGTTAGCTGAGATTTCAGGTCCTCGGTACCATACATGGTAGAGCCTAATTAAGTCAGGAAAAGTGCTATGACATAATAGGATTCTGGATGTCCTTGCATTAACGGTCCATCTTTCCTTCTTCTCGTAATGAAATTCACAGTTTTTTAAATAAATTTTCTTCTGCTGTCATTTTAACCATGTTGTTTAATATCATTCTCAAAACATGCTTATTTTTATTACATTCAGTTGTAGATTTTTTATATAAATTAACGTTAAATAAAAATTTTTTAATAATGTTTTGTGCTGTAACTTGCATTTGTATTTTGTACTGTTGCAGTTAAATTTTTATGCAATGAATAAAAATGAATTTTCTCAAAAGAAAATTTAAATTTATCCTTTTTTTATCATTAAAAAGTTTAATTTTTGTTTTCATTCCTCCTTGTTTGGACAATGACCCATTTATTTTTACAGTAATTCTTAAGGAATATATTAGTGGCCACATGCATAGGCAGTTTAAGAAGTCTGTTAGACGAGTGTTCATTTTCACATGCCTCAGATGGCAAATATTTTTCATGGCTACAGAATACTTAAGCTGGTAGAGAAATGGGAAATCAGAGAAACGGATACTTTAATACAGGGTGAGTTTCTTTTGTATAACAACTGGTATCCATTTTGCTGATTTCCCTTTTCTATAACCAACCCAAGAACATATTTAAAAATTTAATTCTTTGATCTTCTACCAAATGTGTAATTGGTTCCTGAAAAACCTGGAGTGTATGTTCACTCTGATACAAAGATTTTACATTAACTATGTGCCACTAAGTGCTTACAATTTACAATTGAATGTATTCAGCAGTTTTGTTCCAAGTCTTGAATATCATAATAAGGACTAGCAATGCAAAGACCACCTTCAGTCATTTTCAAATTCAACAACTGAAGAGCTGATTTAACTTTTTGTCTTCTTGGATAATTCAGATACAATGACTTTAGTATTCAGACTAGAAGCATATTTCATAATACTGCCATATTCAATTTCTTGAAATTTCCTCAAGTACAATAAAGATGCTGGTTTTAAAATTTCTGCAGATTTTGTTCCTGATGTTGTAGGAAAGTCTGGGAAAATAAATGTGTTCTCTAAATTATTTTTGTTAAGCCAGTTATTTGGGACAGTACGTATAACATCTTAATATGAAGATTTAATACTCTGCAGCATAAAAACACAAGCACAATGAGCAGCATTTTCACAAATTATATGCCATTCTTATTATATACCACCTTTGAAATCTAAAAATGGCATAATATGAATTTTGTCAACCAGTAAAGTGACATATTTAGCATTTTCGTCTGAAAAGTGTTTTTTTTTTTTTTTTTTTCCTTTAGCATAATTCAAGAAATCTTCAGCAGTTTGCTCCATTTGAGGATCAACATTATACTCAGAATACAATCTTTTCAATGCAGAAAGATGTGGCAAAGTAACATGCATTATTTTGCAAAAATTTAAAGCAATGTTCAGAAATTAAAAATATCAAACTTGATAATATTAACAGATCAGAGCTATACCTATTATTATTTTTGTGCAAAAGGAGTAATAATAGTTGCTCAAATAAAAGCTGAATTACTTTCTTTTTAAATCAAGGAGCATATTTTTCTGATTCGTGGAGAATGCTTTGAATTAGGAATAATAAATTTTTAAAGCTGTTTTCATTGTAATTACCCTTATTTTCTGCATCTTCTTTAAACAATGAACAGAGACTCTGCACATTATTAATTTAAAAAGGAGTTCATAGTTACTAATTTTTGTTTATGGAATATCTTTAAAATATGCTTGTACTTGGAGATCCTTATGGATAACAACTGATACAGAAATAAAAGGAAGAAATTCTGTGCTTATCTGGAGAAAAAATGTGTTATTTTCTTCAATCACAACTGTCCAATCATCCTTATTTGGCAGTACCTTAATTTGCATTTTGAAAATTGAAGGAATAGCATTTTCTTTCAATCAACTTGTTTTAATGGAACTTATATTTTTTTCTCAGTTTTCTCATTGTAGTATTCAGAAACATACTGGACATCTTTCTCTTGGAAATGTAATTTATAGACCACACGGTATGTAATTCCCTCAAATGTAAACATAGACCTAATTACTAATTTTAAGGTAATAGACGGATTTCTTGTAATACAATTTATTTCTGAACAGAACAGGTAATAGCAAACATATGTGTGTTTATCTCTCACATGGGAGGCAGGAGAAAAGAATTCTTAGTGATTTAAATTTTACTAATATTTGAGTTTTCATGCATTAGAAATTTATTTTATTTCTTATGTTATGCAAAATTATGCACTTTATATTACAATTTAAAAAAAACAACGAGCATATTTTTCTGAATATGCTCGTTGAACAACAAGCAAAAAAAACAACGAGCATGTTTATTGTCTTTACAGTTTCTTTGAAAACTTCTAGTACTGAAATATATTACTTTCCGCTATATACATATCAACTTATGTTTCAAGTTATAAAATTAATCAAAAAATAAAAAATTGGAGATTTTAGAAAGTAAGCGAATATTTAGCAAAATTGTTGTGACCTAATCTGCTTTCTGGCAAATTGTATCCCCCCCCTTTTTTTTTTGCACATACTGAAGTTTTCCAGTTTCAGGTAATACAGAGGTACACCATTTTTAAATATGATTTTGTTGTTTATTATTGCAGGTTTTATTAAATGCATTCAGGGTAGTTTCAAAATAATTTATAGAAAACAGATGACCAAGCAAGAAAATGTAGTTGCAATTTTTATTTTTATCAGGTTATGTAAAATAGTCGGTGTGGAAAATATTATTACCATTACAAATTGTGTGCTATACATCAATGCAATTAGTACTCTGGTTTGCATTTTTGATGTATATGCCGGGTACTGAGTGGGATCTATACGAATATCATTTTAGAATCAATATCATATATTATAACTGAGGTAGAATGTTCTTAGTGCTTTTTTAATGGATATTTTTTTAGAAAAGAATGTTAATTGTATTTGTAACTGTGTAAATCTATTATGACTAAGGATTCATAATTTAATTATGTAACTAACTGCTTACCCTTAAAAGTTTTCTCTACATGTTAAGATGAGTTTTTGCCTTTCTTTTATCCTTATTTTGGGTGTAAGACACAACACAAAAATATAAAATTTAACATAAAACTTTATTCCTTATAACTAATGAAACTTTAAGTAATACTAAACTTATCACCTCTGGATGCTTCAACAGCTTACTGGAACTTAATATTAAATACTGTATATTAACAGGGTCACAACACCAGCAAATCTACACCAAGTTATGACTTTAATAGGTCAAAGTGCAGTTAACTTTCAAAACTGTCCAATCATATCAACATGTGTTCACACGTCTTTTTTGATTAGTGGCTCTCTAAGCCAGCAACGGGAGGCAAGTGCCAAGCTTCTTTTGAGTCTTATTTTACATCTCAGTTTGACTTATGCCAGACATAAGATCCGCATGAAACTCTAAGCGAGTGCGTGACAAAATGAGGCATAAAAGAAAAAAATCTATAAAAATCTAACTGCAGTAAAATTTAAATAAAAAGTCGCTAATCTTTTTTAAAATGTGTGAGACTGTTATTAGTGTAAAATATGTTTCAAGAAATTTTATAATTTAATATTGATTGCTTGAAAAAATTATGAATTCTTGAATTTGTTTTATAATTAAATTAAATATTAGCTTATGTTTAATAATAATGCATCCCACCTACAGGCTTATTTTATTCTTATAGATTACAAAAGTAAAGTTCAGTTGTATATAACTACTTTAGTTTGTTCAGTTCCTATTTGCTGATAGTTCCATAAATTTTTTCATTGATGGTCCTTAAAA